TCACAAAATAATCCTTGATATATCTAGGATACGCACATGTCGTGGTTCTGTTAGATGAAGATACTGACAAGATTCAGGTCTTCTAAACACTTATAGTAGCAGTTTGAGAATGTTTCAGATGCGTTTCACGCCACCGAAATGCAACTTACCTCTCCAGGACTGGTTTTCAGTAGTGCCCAGTCTAACAATATAGAGTGAAGTGGATGAGTGTGTTGAACACTTCACTTACCTAGAAAGTCGGATCAGCCCAGTGCGTTGGTTAGTGGCCTATGAAATCTCTGTACAAACACAAAAGGCTCAATTGAGGTTCACCAGCTCATACCATCTGTAGTGCCACAGCAATATCCGACTGCCTATTGAGGGTCGAGTGTAATGTGTTGCAGTTCGCTCTGTTCTACAATATAGCTGGATGTGAAACATAATCATCAAAGTTACATGACCTGAAAAGGCTTGTGTTCGACCACCGTTGTCTTCGTATCACAGACTGTATGTCGTGATGTCACAACGTGAGTAACGCAGGAGACTCAGGTGTGTAGAGTTTTAAGGAAGAGAGGAAAGTCAGTTGATGAGATTGTGAACGTTTATCGACTGATATCACTGGCTGACAAGTATATGGCGCATGCCTAGCCGCCGTCCACTTCGTCGTGTAGTGGTAGCTAAAGTATTTTCTGACTGGAAAAGGGCTCGGAGCGACCAGATTCAGACATGGCTTCACTGCATGAAGTCTTTGACTGTTGGTTTGAGCCATGTAGGGAGGTGTAGACTAGCCGGTTGGGGGTCCACGTGACAACAGGAACCAGTGGTTGGGGATTCTAGGTGATACAGCTTAGAATCGATGTCAACGGCACAGATGTAGCCACATATCTTCATCTTAACCGTTATACTGAATCTAGCATTTTTCGATTCCTCCATTCACTTTTTTACTACTTTCTACTCCTTCTGACGGATGTTTCTTTCTTTATCGTCCATATTATTGCTTTGTTACTTGATATCCTGACGACGTGTAGCAATTTGGACCGTTATGCAGTAATGCCTGGTCCTATGTTGATATTTATTGGTTGACATTCGTCCAGAAAACTGATCTTAATTGTAAAACTCTAGTTTGTAAACCATGGTGCATAAATGTGAGCATAACTCTCAAGTCACTTAGCGAGTTCTCATTTCCCATCTTCAGAAGATATCAATTTGAGGAAATCCAGCTTAACTTTGTCTACAATATAAACAACAAGAATTTTTCAAGCTTTTGTTTACCAGATATCACCAAATAGTCCAATAGGTTTTGATTGATCATGTAAAAGGGAGGAAATTCCTGTAATTATATCACTACGGTTCATCTGATACAAGTAGGTATTGACATCATTTCAAACAAAGAGTATTTTATTTTCCGAAAAAGAGTTATATATTCCGGTATATTAAGCACTTTTTTAGAGATTTTGGTTTGTATTTAACATACAAACTTGGTACAATATGGGGACTAAGAGATAGGCTATACAAAATAATACAGAAACACTAAGAAGACAAAAAATGATACAGAAAGAGAGGCGAACTATTGAATTAGTTCCAAGGACACATTAATAAAAGTATAAAATACTTCCATTCACCTTTTTAATAATAAAAGATACAAGAAGGCTGAAGCATGGTCACCGCTAGTTTCAAATCTAAGCCACTGAGTTGTGTGGTCTCCCGGATCTCATTCAGGGAGTTGTGAAGCACCTAAAAATGCTAATCCAATACAAATATGTTTTCCCTGTATAGCGCCATATCATGCACTAGCTACCTCTCCCACTTCCACCAACTGGTCCCACAGCAACTGAATAGTAAATAGTGTGGGAGCCCCTAAGACGGCATTCATAACATACGTCAAAGTCAATGAAGCCGGTGTTTCAAAGTCATTTCACTGAATGAATGATCTCCATCATAGCCGGACATAAACCCCCACACCTCAGAATTAGTCACACGGTGTTTCCGCAGTATGTTAGCGATCCTACGGAGTTAATGGTGACCAAAAACACTACGCTATCGTACATCATCAGGTGGGAGAGGCTAGGTTGCTCAGGTTTAGAGCAGAACCGCCCACATTAACACGTTTTATGCCCAACCTCTCAGAGCACAGCTAACTTCACAAAAGCAGCAAAGATAACCCAGATTGGCTATGCTGCTATAAGTTACAAAATAGGGTTGAAAATAGCATCCGTCGCATCTCCACTAGCACTCACACAACTAAGCAGAAACTTTAACCTTTCAATAACTTTAAATAGCCTATCCTCAGGGCTGAGTGCAAGTACAGGTCTATGGCAATCCTGTAGAAACGATTTAGACTTCAATGGCGCAAAAGAAGCACCCTACTTATGGACGCTGTTCGTTAACTGATTTGAGTAGCTTTCATTTTCTTCTATGGAGGGTTAACACCATCATGAAAATCTGTATAGAATGAACTTGAATTTCTATTTACAATGAACACAAATGGTCAGATAATACTACCACTGCTAACAATCGAAAACGGGGATTTATGAATTAGTGGAACAGTCAACATCGACATAGAACCTGACACTACTGCGTGACAGTCCAATTTACCACACTTTAAATGGCAACATCAACGTAGAAAGTACCAAGGTGAAAGACAGAGAAAGAAGGAAGAAAGTAATCAAAAGCGGTTACAGGGGAAAAAGAAAGGAACAAAAATGATACTCGGCCAGACGACGAAGTCGAAGATAATGTGTGGATGTATCTGCACAACTGAGATTTATTCTGAACGATATCTCCTACAGTCTTCAATCACCTAATCTAATTGATTCGAAGATGTCGACTTAGTAGTATATTTTGTCCTACACGACTCAGACCAATAGTCAAATACTTCATGCATCAGTGAAACTTTCTAGTCTGTTTAGGTAATACCTTTTTACAAGCTTGAATCTACTTCAGCTAAAATTGTGTGATAGGGTAAACAATGACTCAGGTATGCACAACATATTTTCTAGTCATCAGAGTCGATAAAAGTTTACAACCTCATCAACTGACTTACTTCTTTTCGTCAAAACTCTACAGTTGATTTCCACACTACTTATGTGATGGCACCACGACATATGACCTACACTAAGAATAGTAACGGTGGTCAAACACCTAAAGCTGTCTGATGTCCTATACCTCAAAATGGCTGCGTTTTACAATTATATAGTGGAAAAGAGTGAATTACAGCAGCCCATTACGCTTCAACTTTCATAGGTAATCGGATATCAACATTTACAGTTATCAACTACTGTTAACTCTTATTATGACACCAGAGTCACCGTTAATAGCCTCCATTTTACTAAATTTTAACCGGGTACTGATATGTTTAAATAATATGAATACTTACAAAATATAAGTACGTGAAAACGAGGTAAAGATATACTGAAGTACAAACCCATAGCATAATTTTCATCATGAACTAATATTAAATAAAATAAGTGGGAATTGTCTCATAAGAGACTGTTGGCTTACTGAACGCTGAAGATCCCAAACACAAGTATATTACTATCGGTGTTTCCTAGTGTTCAATCTCGATAGCTTCAAAATTGTGAGAAGGCAATCAATCTCATGCATTCGAGTGCCTGCTTGAACCTTTAGTTACTAAATTAATCCATCAAACATTTTTCATCAAATTCTTTCCTTTCAATTTGTTTTAATCATTTAAATATGTCCTTTGAATGTATCATGTACTCTTGCACATTTTTAAACTGTTTTCAACCCTCCGTTCCTCTAGACAGTAACATAGCAGAGAGAAAATGTTAATTTATATGGAAGTGGACTTTTCAGTGCACAGAATTACATCATTTTCTATCCGTCAGGTGCTTAGCTTGAGTTGCAGATATTTGTACCATCTAAATGAACCGCCATCACCAAAATTACGCTTGCATTTCTGTTAATTTGTCCTTATGGACCGGATGCCCATCCAGAACTAGCTGGTTATTTCATATTATTGCCTTCAATACTATTATTATTAACATCATTCCGATGCAATAACCATTTCGTCTGAAAGTATTGTTCTGGGAGTCAATTTGCTGAAAAATCACATGCTGAGAATTCCATACTGTCATACTATTGTTTGGAATAAAGCGATTATAATAATTATAATAATAATAATGACAGTAATTATTATGATTAGTAGTAGCAGTATTAATATTGTTATATTTTATAGGGATTAACATAAATATCCTGACTGGATATTGTTTTACTGAAAGAAGATAGATAGATATTGATGCATAAAAAACAGACGGATGTCTTTCAATAACTATTCTACAATTCAGCATATAAAAGATTTCAACTTGGGTATAGGTAAATATACTTTTGAATGATGTGATTCTTTAGATATGAAGGTCATTCCGATCTAGTTCTTTTCGCCAGTGAGATCGGAGTTATTCAGATACTTAACAGGAATTCTACTAATTCAGAATTAAGCGAGTAATCATCAGAGTAAACAGATTAACTCGACTTATTTGAATTTTACCAGTTGACATGAGTGGATAGACTGCATAAATAAGTTCTCCTTTAGAATCATGTACAAATCCCTTATTGTTATCCCATTCTTGGAGTTGTACACGACAGGAGCGCTGGTAATCCATCAATTCAAGTTCAGACTCTAAACTAGACTAAGACCTGATACCAGTCGATGAAATCTCTTGTTGTTGGGCTGAGTCATATGGTGAAATGTAGACTGCCTAGTTGAAGTCCCCGAGACGAAAGGAGGAATCATTGATTGAGGGCTCTTGGTGACATGGCTAAGAACTGGTTACAATGGAACAAATGTACTCATTCCTTGATATTTAAGGTTTCAATATTCGAACTAACCTTTATCTTCAAATTGTTTATTCTCTTTGTTTACGACTTTGAAGTGTGGTAACTTAAGCCGATGCACTTATGTGTGAGGTTCTATATTGATTTCGACAGTCAGTCAGTCATCCTTTTACCATGATCTTAATGTACAATTACATAAATAATCATTTTGTTTAAAAGCAACTTACATAACAATATTTTCTAGGGAACACAATAAATCATCCAATAGTAACTGGTGAACATAAGACCAAGAAAAATTGGATAATTGAAATTTCACAGGTTTATCACGCTTTAAATTATTACTAGCAGTGTTGTCTTATTCTCGTCATTATTTTCATCATGATGACGTTGAATTGGTGGCGATGGAGAAGGTAGATGCTGATCAGCTGACAGTTTTGATGGCGGTAATGAAGACAACTCAATATTCTCATAGGATAAAGTTGATTCAGACTGAGTACGATTCAGTTTAGAATCTATAACAAGAAAGAAACTTATCCAAGTTATTGTCTTTTTTATTGTTATTATTGAAATGGCAAAATGCTTTTTCATCAGACTGAAAGCAAAACATTCTGGCTTCATATTTATGCAATGAATGAATTGATAGCGATGTAATCATCATTATCATTAAAATAAACATAAAACCAGGTATTACTGCTTAATGGTCCGAGTTGGCATATCTCATATGGAAGATGAAGAAGGAAAAATCAGTCAAGAGAAGTAGAAAGTAGTAAAAGAGAGTAAGGAAGAGTGAGAAGATCATGAGATTAAGTAAAGCTCATAAGATGAGAATACTGTGCGTATACATTTGAGCCACTAACATCGATACTGAGACACACCACCTAGAGTCTCCAATCACTGGTTTCTCTAGTCTTGGGGGACCTCAACCAGCTGGTCTGTATCGCCCTATATGGCTCAAAGGGACAGCGATCTAATGCTTGAATAAGAATGCCTGAGACATTTATACCCAGTATATGTAAAACTGAGAATATCATTAAATTGCTATACCGAATGCGTTGAGTAGATTTCAAATAAGATTTAGGTTCTTGCTCAAAAGCGGTTTATTAGAAGTTATCCATTTGACTATATAAGACAGTCCCGGTTTGACAGATTTATATTGGTACTGGGTAATGATTGAAGGTGTTATGAAAATCTGGAGACCGCGACAGGGTTCAAAACCAGCAACCTCCAGGTTACAGGCTCGATGTCCCACTGACCGAACTACGAAACCTAGCAGCTAACTAGATCTTAATTAGAAGTTACCGAAACCAATTTCACATATTTAGATCCCAATGATCGAGAACGAATGATTATAGGTGGATGACCCAACCTAATCATGCAATTATCCCACATCTTAGTTGATACGCACACAGTCGATGTGGGGCTCACTGTCCAATGTAATATCTTGTGATTTCAAGATGGTATGCATCATGGACTGACATCAGTTGAAGAACTGATGAAAATCTGGGGCACTGGATGTCAGTTTGTGATTAATATCACTTTGAAATTAATCAATTACGATAAACCTCCAAACTGTTTCTTGTAATCATTTTATCTAAATGCATCTTTTGTGGGTTACATAAGCAATGAGATATCCTCTACAAATATGCCTGACTGAGAAAGTTTAGACTTAAGATCAAGGGTCAAGCTAATAATCATAAGACAATCACATCAGTCATCAGATAGGTGAACGAAGCAGAAGACGTATGGTACAGCTGATGATCACTACTAAATTAGGAAACAATAACATACAATGTAAGACAAAAATGAAATTCTGGAAAGAATATGCACAATAGAATAGTTGATAACGGTTAGAACTGCAAACGAAAAGTCAACAAACAACACAAAGAGCAGAAGGGAGATACTCTTTGAGAAAAACTGTTGAAAATTTCAAAACCATAAGCAACAGAGGAGGAGGAAGTAAATAAATATGTTATCAAGTGGTGAAAAAAACTCTGACCAAAGACTGAGAACCTTAAAATGACTCTATTATAATACAGTAAACGCCTAAGAACTAGAATTCTTCGCTGCATTGGTATCATCACTGAAGAAGATGGACTAGATAACGATATTCAAGACAAAAATATGACAAATAATCGTGCCTCCAACCAGATAGGATAAGAACTACACTTGACCAACCATTGTGAAATAGAAAACCCTTAAGAAACTGAGAAAATTATTATAGTTTCAACTGACAAAGGACTCACCAATATAGTCATAGAAAAAGACTGGAACATCAAGACGGTTGGAAATTCGCTCATGGAGGAAAATGTTTGCAGACCACTTGAGATAAAACCTACGTATAGAGTTAGACATACAGGTCTAAGGGCTTTAAACTAGCTTGTCAAAGAAGACAAAATGACAGGACAAGACCAATTGTAAATGAACTCCAAAGAACCTGTTCTTTCATACCTGATGATAGACTGGCAATGAACAAACCAAACATCCCTTTTACGATCAATCATCTCATTTCCAAAGACTCTAGCAGACAATCTATCAGAAGAGCTCTTCAAACAGCTTAAGTATCTGATATAAATAATGACGACTCGATCAATCCTCCGACGATTTTAAAAAAAGACTAAGCATACTGATATTGACAGAGATGAACTGACTGTACACTCCAACTGATGTGAAAGAAGTCATTTCATATGTGGATGTTCATTTTAAAATAAATTTTGAGCAGTTTAGAATTGTATCTATGAACAGCAAAATCAAAACCGGTCATTTTTTTCCTTTTTCAAGCAAATACATGCACCAATCGATTTTATATTGTGACACCGACTAGCTTACCTTATTTCACCACACTGCATACACGAAACAAACAGGCAATTACTATTCAGCACAATGTGAACTTGGAAGCACATTATACAGACTATTCAGGCGAATTGGTTACTCCTGGGCAGATCAAGTCGTTCGGAAATAAATGCTTTCTTCTCAGCCCACTAAAAGTTACCAATTTGTGTGTTTTTAGACTCTCTTCTATGTTAGGGTATTTCTGTTTTATTACTCCAACTTAACATATACGTAAGATGGTTGTGTATTAAATGAAACATAAAACTTAGGCAGTAGGTCAAGGGTTGGAATCTAACTATGAATACTGCCCATGGGCTAGATAGAAATCATAGTAGCACTATTATTATTATTATTATTATTATTATTATTATTTATTATTTAACACAATTTGTTGGAGCTCAGGTATACGGATTTTGTGTTCCAAAGTAGACAATGAAAATTCCATTTTCTTAAGTTAGATCTTCATATGAATTCATTGCTTAGATAATCACTTAGAGTATATCCCCCCTTGTAGTTGAACCTTTCCGTTTATGTACGTCTATAGCACAGTGTAGTCTGTGGTTACTATCGTTATAAAGATGAACGACATGGGACAGAATCCCACTAAAAAAAACAAGCTAACTCTGCTGATGAATTTCCGCAAGTAGGAAATCTAAGTGGACAGCATCTTGTCAATTACCTTCAATCATCTAACCTGTAATCGAGAATAGTGTTATGTAAATTCACATGGATGAAGTAAACGAAAATTAAGATTACAGGACATTGATAAAATTATTCTGTCTCACCTGAATTACTTATCGACGGTGAACAACTGTTATCGTTGCTGTTGTTGCTATTGTTATTACTATTAGAGGAATAAGTTCCAACTGTGGAATCACTAGACTGCATATGATCACCTGTTTTGATTTGACATGATGCATATTCAGTGAGATCAACACCTAGAGAATTGTCGGTTGTAACAGAATTTCTACTTGAAAACAGTGCAGATGTATTTGAATGCATTAAATTGGATTTCTTTTCAACCAATGAATCTTTAGACTTGATAGACTAGTGGAAAAATATAAACAGTAGATACATTTAGGAGTGAATTAATCAGGTGAAACACTGTAACAACCTTAATGAACTTATATAAACCAGTGACCTACTGCCAACCATCAGTTCTAATACCAACCCATCTATTTCATCTCAGCCGTCGAGGTTACTTCGACTGCAACAAAGATTACCCTGATGAAATATCCACAGATCAGCCCAAATGATTTCTGACTACTCAAGCTGTTCAGTAGTATATTTACAACAAATATTCACGAGTGAACAAATACAGTTTCTTCGTGGAATATAAATAATATGAAACAAACCAACACTACCAAACAAGATTTTTTATTTATTTACGCACTCAGAAATCTTTGCACATCCATAAAGTAGGCAATGAGCCGTAACTATTGTGTGAGGGCTAGTGATACAACCTGGCTGTCAAAACCTCGATAGGTGGAGCGGGATTCCAACCCGTAACCCAGTGGTTGATAGTCATAAGCTGCAGCTCCACTCACAAAACAAGAGAAGATATATTACGAAGAAGAAAAAATAGTATTCAAAGGCTTTTACATTTTATCCCTCGAAACATGTATTAATTGATCTAGTGACAAACTGAAAACAATGAAGTATGGAATGAGTTAACAGACAGGTGTAAAAACAAGCAGAAAAAAATGCTTACATTTAAAAACAATTCTGAAGGCACAAGCTAACAACATTTCGATATAAACCATAACACTAAGAGCAAAGTATAACACAAGTTAGTACGAAGTATAACAATGATATTAATGATACCAGTATAATCAAAGACCATATTTACATATGTCTACTGTGACCAAGAAGGAAATTATTGTACTATAATTTGGGCTATCCGAGATAGCCATGGTTTGGCAGACTAGTATTTATACTGGGAAATGAAAATTTAAACCACAGCCAGATTCGAACTAGCGACCAGCGGGTTGAAGTGAAATAAAAGTCTGATCAGTAGTCGAAGTTCATAGATTAGTTGGTAGAGGATTGGGGCGGGAACCCAGTGGTCATTGGCTCGAATCCGGCCGCGGTTCAAATTTTCAGTTCACCTTCAATCATCATCCAGTAGAAATTAGTGTAATTTCATCTGCGTTGAAGGTGAAAACCATGAGAGGAAAAGGAACTAAACAAACATCCTTTACAAAAACATAAACTACACACAAAAATTTTTAATTATCATGCACAAATTTTGAGTGTTGTGGCGGTACCCTTGTATGGAGTGTTGAAGGCTGACGTCCCATCAATCTGATGCTCAGTATCCCCCAGATGGATGTTTGAATATTGAGCCTTCGATGAATTTTACTATTCTTTGCCTCACCACCCTGGATAGTGTTCAATAAAGCCATAATGTGCTTGAATGGTCGTTCCGCCTGTGTAACTATCTCCATAGAAGCAGTTAAATTTATAACTACGCAAAGATGTGTTTACATTTAGTGGTCTATCCTTCAATCGTATTAATATCATATGGCAAGTGGCAAATTCCAAACACAGTGTTACAGCGAGTAACGTTTTTTTAGCCAGTTTATGAGTTTCTGCACTTGCATTCCTATTTCAACGCTGGAGTTAGGTATAATCATCTATTCCATATCGTTTGAAAGCAATGTTCTATAGGTGTCTTTATTGCAACAGTCCTAAAAAACGTTTTCTGATAACCGTTCTCACGTAAAGAACTGTCTTTCATTCTTATTTCATCAGATGTCAGATGTGCAAACCTTCCTGGCTAAAAACATTAGTTTACAGATTCGATTTCTTTTGTGCGTAAGAAGGACAAACGATTGGAAATGTGCATACTGACCGACCCAAGACATCCTACGAAACATATTGCGCCTAACACTATTTTCTAGTGGGCATGACAGTGAAAGATCAAGAAGTGGAAGACACCCATCTTTCTATGTTTCATGGGTGAACTTCATTTCCGAGTGAGCACCGTAGGGTGTATCGAGAAGGATATTAGCATTGGCACTACTTTTTTACGGAATAAGAGCGTCATCCATGTATCTGCAATAGAAGGAAAATTTATTTATCCCGTTATGCTATGCAGTGGCTCATTGTCAAATTTTACTATATATATGCCGGCCAGTAGAGGGATCTAAAGGTGAACCGAATGCTATGTCTTCTATCTGACGGTAAACTTCGTTATCATATTGAAACTATACACTCATCATTCAACGAAGAAGCTGTCATAGGGTTTCACAAGTGGTACACTTACTTCCATATTCTTAACAAGCAGTGATTCAAAAATTAAATCAATTGTTTCCAGAACAAGGATATTGGCGAACAAGGAAGTAACATCCACAACAATCATTGTTTGGTTACTTAATTTCTTGCCTTCAACTCTTCAAGTAAATTCAAAAGTGTCCTCCAGGCTATACCTGACCACCGTACATAGCAATGTTTTCAGCATATAGGTTAATGATCTTGCTACTCTTCATGTTATGGTGAAATGAACATATCTAAGTTAGGGTACACTGGTTATATATATCTATGAATTTTGGAGAACCCATACATCCTAGGTATATTTGTACCTACAGACTTAAGTCCTTAAAAGTATCCGGTGAGGTTATGGGGCTATTCATCAGTGTTTTAGAAAACAATTTTTTCTATTTTCGCAGTGTGATTTCAACCACTAACCAATTTCTGGGACCTTGTAGTATATTCAAGGATATTCATTTCATCGTTATAGTCATCTTTACTCAAGAGTTCGATTCTAACTACCTCGTTATGAGCATACTCTGGTTAGACCACATTTCCCTTAAGGCATCATAGCAGACAATCAGAATAAATCACTGGCTTGATTCAGGAGATTTTCGAACTGTAGTTCTATTTCGAGTTTTACGGGATGATATCACAAGTCGAAAAATCTTATGTGAAGTGAAGGAAACTGTAGAATTGTGGACTACATCTTGGGATTGATTGGAAATAGGCACTGTGTTGATTCCGTCTTAAAACTATCCATTAAACGAATATTACGTTTTCTCTGGTTTATGGATAACTTTCTCCGCATACTTATAGAAAATAGAGCTTAAATTCCCCGGTAGGTAGTTCACTCTAGTTTGATGTTGGGATGAACTTCTTTCTAGCTGAGAATGCATCGGTACAGGAGAGTTAACTCGATTCAAATAAGACGTCTCAGCCTTCTGGCATTAGGTCCAATTTTTGGTCTTCTAAGAGGCTTCCAATAGGTTTCAGGATGACAGTTCTGGTGCATACATAATTTGTAAAACTCTATGCATACATTACATTCGCCAAGAAGTGGCTACCATGAAATTATGAAACCTCAGAAAATTATTTTTCTACTTCATTTGGATTTTACAAGTGTATCTCTTTAATAAATCATTTACCTAATGCTCAACTTTCTCAATTATGCCAGGTCAAATTTTGATCCTGAAGTCTAAAAGATGTTGAGGTAGATTGTAAACTGATATTTAGGTGCGGTGTTAAATACCTAATCAAATTGTGAACTTCAAAATAAACTGGTACCGCATATGAATAACAGATATGCAGTTTATTGTAGCAAATTATCAACGTCCTAGATTTCATCTAGAAAGTTTCAGGTTGTTCAAGCCAAGACCTAGAAGGTTGACGGTTGGTTGAATTGTAGTATCCTGTAGGGATTAAGCTTACAATTTAAATCATTACAAAGCAAGAAGGACTAGCTTTGCAGATCAGTCTGCTTTCTTCACATTTACCACGGGAATCAAATGCATGAATTCCTGAAATCAGTTCTATAGTGTAAACGTATTATTGCGATAAATTATAAGAAAATAATCCCAAAAATGGTGATTTCGATTGGCTCTCAAATTGGCAGGTCGAAGAGTGAAATATAGAGGCGATGGATAGCCGATTATCTTGACTGTGGGACTTATCAATGAAGCTGTCTTGTTTCTATCAAAAAACATTTTTTCTAAGACATTGGACAAAACGTGATATAAATTAGTATATCGTTCAGAAATGTGCTCATTCAAATCTGACATCGACCGAGGAGTAATTTGGCAGTTGCTTCAAAACTACGGAATACCGCAAACCTTTATCAATCTCATTCAGCAACTATATGAAGATGCCACATGCCGAGTAATTCACAATGGGAAGCTCAGTGATGCTTTTGAAGTAAAGACAGGAGAAAAAACAAGGCTGTCTACCATCATCCATGATATTCCTGACTGTAGTGGACTGGATCATGCAACAAACTGTGGGAAGTGAGAAGAGGGGATACGCTGGACTGCGGAAAAGATCCCAGAAGATTCGGATTTCGCGGATGACTTGAGTCTGATGTCACACAAACTTGAAGATCTACAGGCGAAAACCAACAAGTTGACAGACGAGTCTAGGCAGCGAAGACGGGACTTCAAGTGAATGTAGAGAAGACAGAGGTGATGAAGATACCTAACCAACAACAACAAACACCAGTCACCATCAATGGGAGAAACTTAAAGGAAGTAGTCTTTTTTAACTACCTAGGCAGCACTCTATCAACTACAGGCGGCATAGGCACAGACGAGGATATCAAAGTCAGAATCGGAAAAGCAAGACAGGCTTCATTAGCCTGAAATCAGTGTGGAGATCCACTTCACTGCACTCAGCATGTGGAACAAGACCCGGATTTTCAACACCAACGTCAAGTCAGTGCTTCTGTATGGCTCAAAGACTTGGCGCGTCACGAAAGGGATTTCCAACAAACTACAGATATCCATCAACAACTGCCTACGCTGGCTCGTTACTGAAGATCAGATGGCAGAAAGAATAAGCAACAAGGAACTCTGGGAACGAACCAACCAAGAACCTATCACCCAACAAATATGCAGAAGGAAGTGGAGATGGATTGGGCATGCACTGAGAAGACCGCCCGGGGACATCACGCGCCGGGCCAGGCACTCAAGTGGTTTCAGATGGGAGACGACCAGTTGGGCGTCAGAGCAGAAGGTGACATGGAGAGGATGGTGTGAGGAAGAAATGAGAGGTTCTGGGCTGTTGTAGAGCCAGGTTCAAAA